TCTTGAGGGGTAGAGGCAGTGTGGAGAAATGTTAGAGAGACAGAGACAGAGACAGGGAGAAGGGAGAGGGAGAGAAAATCTTAAGCGGACTCCTCACTGAGTGAAGAGCCCAACCAGGGCTCCATGTAATGTCCCTGAGATCATGACCTGAGCCGAAACCAAGAGTTGGATGCTTAATTGACTGAACCAGCCAGACTTCTCTGATCACAGCTTTTTTTTTTTTTTTAAGATTTTATTTATTCATTCATGAGAGACACAGAGAGGCAGAGATGTAGGCAAAGGGAGAAATAGGCTCCCTGCAGAGAGCCTGATATGGGACTCGATTCCAGGACCCTGGGATCATGCCCTGAGCCAAGGGCAGATGCTCAACCACTGAGCCACCCAGATGCCCCTGATCACAACTTTTTATCCTTTAAAAGTCACTGAATTTTTCTCATTACATTTTTCTTTTACTCACTTGTCCCCTCTTCTTTCCTAACAGCTTCTTCCTGTCTTTTAATCCTTCATCATATGGGGACACCTTGGTGGCTCAATGGTTGGGCATCTGCCTTGGGCTCAGGGCATGATCCCTGAATGCTTGGATTGAGTCCTGCATCTGGGTCCCTGCAGGGAGCCTGCTTCTCCCTCTGCCTATGTCTCTGCCTCTCTCTCTGTGTCTTCATGAATAAATAAATAAAATCTTAAAAAAAAAAGAAAGAAATCCTTCACTATACAGATTTCCTGGCCTATCACTTGAACCTTTTTCTTGACAACAGCATCACTTTCTTTGCGCTGATGAGCTGGAAAAACCTTAATCCTTTCTTGAATCCAATTATCAGCTCTCTCTTCTGCTAATCCCAGGTTGGCAAATGATTTTGAAGAAAAAAAGAGGTAGATTGGAGCTATTAAAACTTTCCTCATGAATGTACAAGAATATTGATGGAAACACTGGTCATAGAAACAATAACAACAAAAAGGAAACAAATGTCTGTCAACTGTATCATATGATAGAACAGCTATTAAAAGGACATGAATAAAAAAATAATAAAAAAAGGACATGAATAAGATCGATACAGAGCAATATACATAAAATAAAAAAAACAACTCCTGAGTGAAAAAAAAGGAAGCAGCAAAATATAGGACAAATGCAAAAATGAACTATTAGGACTTCATCAAGATAAATTTTTTTTTTATTTATTTACGATAGTCATACAGAGAGAGAGGCAGAGACACACGCAGAGGGAGAAGTAGGCTCCATGCACCAGGAGTCCAACGTGGGATTCAATCCCCTATCTCCAGGATCGCGCCCTGGGCCAAAGGCAGGCGCCAAACCGCTGCGCCACCCAGGGATCCCAGAACTTCATCAAGATAAAAACTCTTGTACAACAAAGGAAACAGTCGACAATACCAAAAGAAAACCAACAGAATGGGAAAAGATATTTGCAAATGTCTTACCAGATAAAAGGCTAGTATCCAAAGTCTATAAAGAACTTATCAAACAAACTCACTCAAAGAACAAATAATCCAATCAAGAAATGGGCAGAAGACATGAACAGACATTTCTCCAGAGAAGACATACAAAGGGCCAACAGACACATGAAAAAATGTTCAACATTACTCAGCATTGGGGAAATACAATCAAAACTACAATAAGATACCACCTCACAGGGCAGCCCCTTGGCGCAGTGGTTTGGCGCCGCCTACAGCCTGGGGTGTGATCCTTGAGACCAGGGATCCAGTCCCACGTCTGGGCTTCCTGTAGGGAGCCTGTTTCTCCCTCTGCCTGTGTCTCTGCCTCTCTCTCTCTGTGTGTCTCTATGAATAAATAAACAAAATCTTTAAAACAAAAAAAAGATACTATCTCACATTGGTCAGAATGGCTAAAATTAACCACTCAGGAAATGACAGATGTTGGCGAGGACGTGGAGAAAGGGGAACCCTCTTACACTGTTGGGGGGAATGCAAGCTGGTGCAGCCACTCTGGAAAACAGTATGGATGTTCCTCAAAAAATTGAAAATAGAGCTATCCTATGACCCGGCAGTTACACTACTGGGGATTTACCCCAAAGATACAAAGGTAGTGATCCGAAGGGGCACCTGTACCCCAATGTTTATAGCAGCAACGTCCACATTACCAAACGATGGAAAGAGCCCAAGATGCTCATCGACAGATGAATGGGTAAAGAGTATGCGGTGTGTATATATATACAATGGAATACTACTCAGCCATCCAAAAAAAAAAAAAAAAAAGAAATCTTGCCATTTGCAACAACATGGATGAAACTAGAGGGATTATACTAAGCAAAATAACAATGAGAGAAAGACAATTTTCATATGATCGCATTCATATGTGAAATTTAAGAAACAAAACAGAGGATCATAGGAAGAGTGAGAAAAAATTAAACCAGACAAAATCAGAGAGGGAGACAAAGCATAAGAGACTCTTAATCATAGGAAACAAACTGAGAGTCATTGGAGGGGAGGGATGGGGTACCTGGGTGATGGACATTAAGGAGGGCACGTGATGTAATGAGAACTGGGTACTATATAAAATTGATGAATCACTGACCTCTACCTCTGAAACTAATAATACATTATATGCTAATTAACTTAATTTAAATAAAAAATTAAAAAGATAAAATTTCTTTCAGTGAGCAAAAAAGAATGTTGTCCAAAAAAGAATGACAAATAAGTAAAAAAAAAGAGAGAGAGAAAGAAAACCCACACCAACCAACCAACCAGAATGCTATATTTTCTGAGGGAATATGTATATGTATGTGAAAGCACTGCAAAACATCTGGAAGGAAGTTCAAAATTTTTTTTTAATTTTTATTTATTGATGATAGTCACACACACACAGAGAGAGAAAGAGAGAGAGGCAGAGACACAGGCAGAGGGAGAAGCAGGCTCCATGCACCGGGAGCCCAATGCATGACTCGATCGTGGGTCTCCAGGATTGCACCCTGGGCCAAAGGCAGGCGCCAAACCGCTGCGCCACCCAGGGAGCCCAGAAAGTTCAATTTTAAGAGAGTGGAAGTTGTTGGGAGGCAAGGTTCTGGTAAAAGGAAACTTAGTGAGTGCCTGGGTGGCTCAGTCAGTCATGATCCCAGAGCACCCCTCACAGTTGCTTCTTGAATCTGACTAACAAGATTATCTCTCTGATCTCTCTCTCTCTCTTTTTATTTTTATTATTTATTTTTTTAATTTTTATTTATTTATTTTTTTCTCTCTCTCTTTTTAAAAAAGATTTAATTAATTTATTCACGAGAGACACAGAGAGAGGCAGAGACAAAGGCAGAGGGAGAAGGAGGCTCCTTGCAGGGAGTTATCTCTCTCTTTTTTAAAAGATTTTATTTATTTATTTGACAGAGAGCACAAGCAAGCAGAGTGGCAGACAGAAGGAGAGGGAGAAGCAGGCTCCCCGCTGAGCAGAGGGCCCAACGTGGAGCCCCATACCAGAACTTCTGGATAGAAAGATGAATGGATAAAGAAGCTGTGGTCTATGTATACAATGGAATATTCCTCAGCCATTAGAAACAACAAATACCCACCATTTGCTTCCACATGGATGTAACTGGAGGGTATTATGCTGAGAGACGTAAGTCAATCTGAGAAGGACAAACATTATATGGCCTCATTCATTCGAGGAATATAAAAAATAGTGAAAGGGAATAAAGGGGAAAGGGGGGAAAATGAGTGAAAATATCAGCGAGGGAGACAGAACATGAGAGACTCCTAACTCTGGGAAACGAACAAGGGGTAATGGAAGGGGAGGTGGGTGGATGGTTGGGGTGACTGGGTGAGGGGGTCACTTGACAAGATGAGCACTGGGTGATACGCTATTTGTTGGGAAATTGGACTCCTATAAACAACAACAACAACAACAACAAAAGTCTCAGATCACGCCCTGAGGGGAAAGCTGACACTCAACTGCTGAGCCACCCAGGCATCCCTTTTTCCTCTTTCTCATTCCCCAATACTTGCTGATAAAATATGTTCAAAGTCAATTCGAAATGCTAAACCCTTCTCATTCTTTGGGTCTTATATGTCATCTCCTCCGAGAGGCCTTACCTGGCCATATTATCTGAAGTGTAGCCTCTTATGTTATTCTTAAGTTTCACTCTTTGTTGTTGCCTTCAACACTTACCATAATTCTTTTCACAATTTTTAATTATTATTTTTTCATTGGTTTACTAGATGTTTGTGTGCCTCTCCCACCAGTGTAGGAGCCCCACAAAGCCATTATCTACACCTGTCTTGTGACTGGCACATAGCGAACATTCACTGAGTCTTTGCTGACTGAATGAAAAGAAGGAAGGCCTTGAGCATCCTGTCCCTTTGCTGTCAGTAAAGCCCCGGGAGCATCCACCCACACCTTCTCTCCTCGACTGCTCTTGGGATAAGAGGTCCTCCAGCCAAGGCCATTCTCTCACACCTCCTCAAGAAACTCCTTGCATCCTTCTTTCCTACATATCCTCACCTACACAATCGTTTCCTATCAATACTCAAAGATGTTCCCATGAAACCACCAACCAGCCAGAAACCCCAAGGGTTCTTTTCTCTTCAGGCCTCAGGTCACCCCATTGACTACCCTGGTCCCCTGACTTTCGGGACTCAGCTGAACACTCTCCTGCGTTCCTCTGCAACTCCTTCTCAGGTTCTTTTTTTAGGGAGCCCTTAAATGCTGGGATCCCCCAAAGTCCTGTTTCTTTCAATCTCCCAGTGACAAGGGGTAGGGATGGGGGGGGGGAGGAGCGGGTAGGATCTGGAAGCCTTCTGCCAACGGGGCTCTGAGGAGTGAGGCTGGGTGAAGCGGGGCAGGGAGAGCTCTGAGAAGCCCGAGACCTCGGGTGGAGGAGGACAGGCGCTGCGGCGCGCACTCGAGCCTCTGTGACGTGCGGGGGACAAGGGGGAGAACGGCAGGCGCGCGCCGGGGCCAGGCAGCCTCGCGCACAGCAGGGGGAAGCGCGCGCTCGTGAGCGCGGCGGCCTCTGTACGCCTGCGCCGCCGTTGCCCGGCACCCGCCGGCGAAAGGACGACAGAGACCAGGGGTGGGGGCCGCGGGGACTCCGGAAGGCCACCCTTTACCCGGAAATGGTTGTAGAGGAACATGGCGTTGCTGGTGCGAGTCCTTGTGAGTGAAGGAATCATTTGTTGCGGTCGCCGCCGGGCCTCAGGGTTGGAGTCGGAGAGGGCAGGACGGGAGAAACTGGAGCAAAGTGCAGGGGGGGAGCTTGTGTGGCAGCGAGGCTGCTTGGCCGCCTCTCTGCGGGGGAAACTGAGGCAGCGTCCCACTTCCCCCTACCTTCTCTTTGGCCGTGACTTCCCCCGCTTTGGGGGAGGGAGAGAGTGACATCGGACCAAAGTTTGGCGAAGTTTGCTTTTTCCTTAGTCACCTCAGGCGACCGCTTTTCCTTCAGGGAAAGGCCGCACGTGGGGGCACTGATTGGAGTTTCGGGAGACCTGGGTTCCAGTTTCTGTTCATTGATGCCCAGTGTGACCTTGGACGAGTCACTTTCGGGCCTCAGTGTCCCGATGGGAAAAAAACGACGTTAATTTGCAGTCCCTTTGGTTTCTGAGGTTCTCTGGGTTTGTTTCCGAGATCGGCAAGACAGTTCTTAACTGTACAGTTAAGTGGAATACTATTACAGGTTGTCACATTGAAAGCTGCCCCAAAACCCGGGCTCGTGTCTGTCGTTTTTCCTTTGCCTAACACAGTGTATGGCACGTCATAGGTGTCCAAGAAATATTTATTGAAGGAATTAATGAAGTAGGTAAGGAAGGGTTACTAGACTTCTTAGCACCCTTATGGGAAACTACTGTATTTGTGATTCAGTCCCTATCCTTCCAGCATACCCTAACATCTGGGAATTCAAGGAGAAAGAAAGTGACAGCAGAAAAAAAACGAAGATACAGAGCTTAGTTACTAATCATTGAGGGATGGGAGGTTTTACGATTTTGCAAGTCTTTCAAAAATTGGGTCAAGGACATTGTTTTTTCAGAGCACTTTGTCATTCCTGCCTCTGACGGTCTCGTGAGTTGTTACTTACACTTTAGGTTTCTAATCTTTTTATGTGCGGTTTACAAGGACTGCAGTTTTACCTCTTGTGTTACTTGTCAGCCTAGCAAAGTGCGGGACTCTTGCTGTTTAGAAGTGTTTGGAGAAGAGCTCATATAACTTAAAGATTCACTTGGTGAAGTAATTGTTGATGCCAGGGCAGAAATTGATTCAGATTTGAGAATCGGCTGTTGGAAATTGCAACTGGGATGTCCTAGTTATTTATTTATTTATTTTTAAAAGAACATTTATTTATTTATTTATTTATTTATTTATTTATTTATTTATTCATGAGAGACGCAAAGAGGCAGAGATGTAGGCAGAGAGAGAAGCAGACTCCCTGCTTCTAGCCCGATGTGGGACTCGATTTCAGGACCCCAGGATCATGTCCTGAGCCAACGGGCAGACGCTCAACCATTGAGCCAGCCAGTGCCCTGGATGTCCTAAGTTACTTAGTTTTTAAGGTGGATATGTCATGGAAAAGAGGACAAGTTTATTGGTCTATACATCTGAAATGAACACCTTTATTTGTCTTGGAAGTTAGTAGCTGTCCTAGATACATTAAATATTCTTGCCCAAGTGTGTGGATTGTTGCAGATTTATTCATAGGTGATAGCATCCATAGAAACCACCTAGCTGCCCTCTTTTAGTCTTTTTTTTTCTATTTATTCTTTTCTGTTCATCTTTTTTGATAAAAACCAAATTTAAATAAGGAAAGTCACTTTTACCTTTTTAGGTTTAAAATCACTTTCACTTTATACTGTGATTCTTTAAAGGCCTCTTATTATATGATAGAATCAGATTATATCAATTATATGTGCTGTGTGACAAAGCAATGGAATCTCCCTTAGGACTTGTTGAAAGTGGCAGTAAACATGAAAACAGCATATATTGATTGATTATCTATTCTGAAGAGATATTTGAGTTAGGCGCTGAGGAATTCACAAATATAGGAAATCTACCCGTCTAGGAGTTTGAAGTGCCTTGGTTGAAAGCTTGGCTCCATTACTTACTATGAATGTAACCTTGAGCAAGTCACCTAACTTCTTCTCTGAACCTCTGATTTTCTTAACAGTAATTTTGCTAGGATTGATCAGAAGATCAGTTGATACAGGTGACATTCAAGTGCTTTTCTTCCCTTCCTTTTAGTTTAGCAACTGTTTTGAGAGTTTACTACATTCTAAGGACTACCTAAGGGACTGAGGATGCAAAACATAGATCTTTCTGTCAAGTTTATAATCTAATAGGAGAACAGAAAAGAGGACTACTAATAAAATATTTGAGATGCTGTGATAGAAGTTTGTACTAGGTGCTACAGGAGCAGAGTAGAGATACACCTAATTCAGGTTGAGTATAAGCATCCATCAGGGAGAGATGCCTGAACGGAGTGAGAGCACTAGATAGAGAATGGGAGAGAGAGCATGGAAAAGAAGCGTTAGCTTATGCTACTAACAGTCAAGAACTGTACACATTATCTGTTGGCTTGACCCAGGGACATTTATGGGGAAATATCAGGAGAGGAGTCAGAGCCTTGTGTTTCATGGTTAGGATTAGAGGTTTATCCTGAGGCAGAGGAGAGCCTTTGAAAAATAGTTTAAGCAAGAGAAGATTTATTTTTAATAGGGTTTTCCCTTCAAATAATTAACTACTTATTTATTTTCAAATAATTTTCAAGTTGAAAACAACCCGATCTTCATTCTCAAGTTGCTCTCGTGCCTATTATATAAACCACTAAGATATTTCTATAGGGTGAGACCCTGAGTTTTTCAAATGGGCAAAGGGAGGAGATGCATCATGGGTAAGCTGCAAGCGCACACTGAGGAGGTTTGAATGGTGTGCAACCTCACGTGAACTGATAACAGCTCAGTGTCCAGGCTGGTTTCCTGTGGTCCCCAGTTTGCACCTGGCCCTGGAGACTAGGTTCTAGGACAAGGTTATGCATTCCCTGACCTTTTGTGAATTCTGCTGGAGATAGGCAGGTAGTCTGTGACAGTGATGTATATTTTTATTGCTTGGCATCATCTGTCACGCTGTAGATGACATCTATGTCAAAGTGTCTGTATTTAGGGCAAAAGAGTTTGTTTCTAAAGGTTTTTTTTTTTTAAATTTTTATTTATTTATGATAGTCACAGAGAGAGAGAGAGAGAGGCGTAGAGACATAGGCAGAGGGAGAAGCAGGCTCCATGCACCAGGAGCCCGATGTGGGATTCAATCCCGGGTCTCCAGGATCGCGCCCTGGGCCAAAGGCAGGCGCCAAACCGCTGCGCCACCCAGGGATCCCTGTTTCTAAAGGTTTTTGAAACACTTTATTTTTAAAGAATAATTGACACACAATAAGTTGTACTTATTTAATTATATAATTTGATAAATGTTAACATAGATATACACTTGAAAAGTTATCACCACAATAAAAATATTGAACATGTCACTCCTGCCCCAAAATTTCTTTCTTTTTTTTTTTCCCCAAAATTTCTTTGTGTTCTTTTGCAAGTCCTTTTCTCCTATTGTTCTGCAATCATCACTGATCAGGAGAACGCTTTAGTTTCTTCTCTCATTTTCTATTTTTATTTTTTAAATTTTTGTTTGTTTTTTTAAAGCTGTGGTCTTTTTAAATTTTTTTTTTTTTAATAAGCTCTATACCCAACGTGCATCTTGAACTCATGGCCCTGAGATCAGGAGTTGAATGCTCTACCAACGAGCCAGCCAGGTGCCTCTCCTCTCATTTTTAAATTTAAATTAAAAATTTTTATTTTCAAAGTACAAAAATGTTTAAAAAAAAACACTCATTGTAGTAAACCCTCATGCCTGCTATTAGATTTTTTCTTTAATAGATCACTGTAGCACTTGTGAATGGATCAGAGGGCTGAGATTCAAGTCCTGAAGGCCAGTCAGAAGTTACTCAAGTAATCCTAGAAGAAGTGAGGAAGGCCTGTACTAAGAGGGAAAGTGTGGTTAAAGAGGAAGGGATGATTTCAACAAGTATTGAGGAAACCGGCTATAGGAGTTGGTGAAAAGTTAGATATGAGGGTAAGGGAGAGGGATGTTTAATAGTGAGTCCCGGGTCTGCCTTTGATGTCTGAGTTAATATAGCAGTGTCCTTCACTGAACATATCCAGCTGGAGATGGTGGTGTTTTGTTGTTTTTTTTTTTTTTGAGCAGCTGGAGAGTTGGTGTTCAGGAGATAGTAGGTAAGCTGAGATAGAGGATGTAGTTGAAATAAGATGTTGAGATTTCCTGGGCAAGGATATGGATAGCTAACATTTTTAGGGCATTTACCAGGGTGCTTGGGTGGCTCAGTCGGTTAAGTGTTGGACTCTTTTTTTTTTTTTAAGATTTTATTTATTTATTCATAGAGACACACAGAGAGAGAGGCAGAGACACAGGCAGAGGGAGAAGCAGGCTCCATGCAGAGAGCCTGACTTGGGACTCCATCCAGGGTCTCCAGGATCACGCCCTGGGCTGCAGGCGGCGCTAAACCGCTGCGCCACCCGGGCTGCCCTAAGTGTTGGACTCTTGATTTCAGCTCATGTCATGATCTTAGGGTCCTGCAATTCAGCCCCACATAGGGCTCTGCGCTCAGCAGGGAGTCTACTTGAGATTCTCTCTCCCTTTTCCCCCTCCACCTCCATGTATGCATGCATTCTCACTCTCCCTCTCTAAAAAGAAAGAAAGGAAAGAAAGAAGGAGATGTTTAACATTTATAGGGCAGTTACCATGTGGTAAGTGCTCTTAAATACTTTGTATATGTGAGTTTACTTAATCCTGACAATAGCCTTTTGAAAAGGTAGGCACTATTTCTCCATTTAAAGAAATTTGAACCCAGAGAAGTAGTATTCCTAAAACATTCTCATTAGTTTCTCCTTAGTTTTTCCCCCTTTCCCTTCTCTAACGATGGGTTTAGGAAGCAGGAGGAAGCTAAAACACTGCTATTGCTGACTAGCTCCAGTAGAGGAACTAGACATTTGAGCAGTGCAGTGGGACTTGTTCATGGTTTTATGAGCAGTCCTGGGCATTGGTGATCATTTTTGCTTTACTTTGACAGTAGTAGAAGTTGCAGACAGCTACTCTTTTTTTTT